AGTGCGCGCGCGCGCATGCGCCGCGTGTGTGTGTGTGTGTGTGTGTGTGTGTGTGTGTGTGTGTGTGTGTGTGTGTTGTGTGTGCGTGCGTCGCGTGTGCGGTCGTACGTGTACGCTGTGCGTGCTCGTGTGTGTGGTGTGTGACGTGTGCGTGTGCGCTGGTGCGGTGCGTGTGCGTTGTGCGGAGTTTATGTCTCTGGTGTGGTGTGGTGTGTGTGTGTTGTGTGCGTGTGCGCTAGTGCGTGTGCGTGTGCGTGTGCGTGTGCGTGGGTCGTGTGTGGCTGTGGGTGGCGGTGTGCGTGTGCGTCGTGCGTGTGCGTGTGCGTGGTGCACAGGCAGCTTGGGACAGAGTCAGTAAAAAACTGAAAATAATATTGGAACTCGCACATTCACAAATATCGTACCTCATCAATTACGTTCACTGTTGTGTCACTGTATATCACCTTGCCTTCATAAAAACTAAAACGCCGAACGCTCCGCACTCGCCGCTGCGAGTGATGCTGTGTCCCATTATAACTGACAAATATATATATATAATCCCAACTTTATACACAGTTGATATCAGTGACACAACAGTGAACTGGTAATTGAGAGGTACGGTAGTATTTGTGAGATGTGCGTTCCATACTTTTCAGTTTTACTGACTGCTGTTCCCACGTGCCTGTGTGTGTGTGTGTGTGTCGTTGTGTGTGGTAGTGTGTGTGTGTGTGTGTGTGTTGTGTGTGTGGTGACTGTGTGTTCGTGATGTGTGTGTATGTATGTGATTGAGTGAGTGAGTGAGTGAGTGAGTGAGTGAGTGAGTGAGTGAGTGAGTGAGTGAGTGAGTGAGTGAGTGAGTGAGTGAGTGAGTGAGTGAGTGAGTGAGTGAGTGAGTGAGTAAGTGAGCGAGCTAGCGAGTGAGCGTGTAAGCGAGTGAACGAGTAAGAGAGCGAGTGAGCGAGAGAGAGACGCGCGCGCACGCGCTCTCTCTCTCTCACACTATTGCTCTAGCTCAATTTTGCTTCTCCTATTCACACGCACACACACACTCTCTCTCTCTCTCTCGCTCCCATTCTTACTCTTGCTCTCTGGCTGTACTGCTATAACTCGTGATATCCAACAGGGATAAACGCAAATGCTACCTGGCGCACGTGTAAAAAGCACGACTATAGACAAGACCTCGTCGTGTGACATCAGCCGTGTATGCGCTTGCGTGCATGAGCGACAAGTCTGCGAGAGCGCAGCACAACGCTAACTACGTTCCACGCGACCCCAGCAGACACTGCATCGCCTGTCGCTCCGACTACAGACGATGACGATGACGGCGATGGCAACGCTGCTGCTGCAGACGATGTTAGCTTTGGCAATGCTCCAACGGGTCACCGCTATTTCGGGTAAGTGGTTACGGGTAATTATGCCTCTCTCGTGTAGTCGGCGGCATGGGTCGGTTGTAGAGAGGTACGCGACGAACGTCCTTGTTAATAAACTTGCCTCGTCTACCCGGACGATCGGGTCAAACTGCGAGTTACATAGTCGCGCACGTAAATTTTCCGCGACACCGAGCAGTCCGATTCTAGTTTGATTAAGTTAAATAATATGATATTCGCATGATATTCGCATGACTATAAATTACCTATACTTTTGGCCTGAGCATATGAAGGTGTGCTGTAGCGCCTTGGCTCTTTCCTAAACTTGTCAACAACTCATCCATAGCTCACCCGACAACTCTGTTGTCATGGCTG